TTCTGATCAATTTTAATTTTTAAGTTAAAGATTAAATAAGCTCATGGCAAGTTCTACGACAATAAAATATCTGTAGAAATTCCCCTATCATATCGTTAAATATTTGAGCTTAACAACCTTAACAAAACTTGAAAGACCCATAATAATTTCAGGGTTTTCCTATTTCAAGTTTCTGATGAATCTTAATTCTTCAGTTAATGATTGAATAAGCTGATGGCGAGTTCTATGACAATAAAATATCTGTAGAAATTCCCCCATCGCATTGTTAAATATTTGCCTGTGGAACTCTTCCAGCTTCTGGTTTCCCTGCAATCTACAAAAATGTTTAAAATCAATGTTAATTGCCATCTTCTGTCTTCCTAAGATCTGTTCTTTTATTGTCCTTTCTGTTAAGTCCTTTCATTTTCCTTAACTCCCTGTGACCCCTTACATCTTAGCAGCATTATCACCTTGTTTGTGGTGGAGCAAAAAAAAAAAAAAAAGCAACAAATAAAGTGTGACTAACAGATTTTCTGTTAGGTGCAACAATAAAACAAACAAATCGTTCCAGGGGCAGATAAGCAAAAATGTTTCCCTTTTCAGGAGTTTGGTTGTTAAGCTATATTAAACTTCATTATAATGTATTTGACTTTACACTTTGACTAGACCAGGGAGGAGTGTGAACCAGGTGATAGGCAAACTTATCTACTCATATTTACCCAAAGAAAGGAAATAGAAAAGTTTTAACTAAACAATGTTAGATTAAATACTTTTCAGTGTCCATGCCAATCTTATAAGGAACAACTGTAAAATACTTCCAGCATCCCCAATTTATAGGCAAAAACCACACAAATGCATTCTAAGATTACTTCCTATCCAATAAAATAGGCAACTTCACAGCCTCATCTCACTCGGTCCCAGTCTGTCTTATCTTGAATCCTGAACACTGTTTACCTGAATATGCTCTTATGTGTTTATACCAATTCTTAGTTTTTGAACAGTTTTGCCTTATTACTTTAGTTTTGTCATGCATATATTGTTTACTTGCTCAAGATTATTTTTGCCCCATTCTTATTACTTATTACAGTCTCCGTCGATTCCTATTGCTTATCACAAACTCCGTCAATTCTGTTTATTGGACAGTTCTGCTATTTAGATTTAACCATGGTCACTTTATCTACAAGAAGGATGCAATATAAATTGTGAGTAATCTGGAAATGAGGAAGGAGGTGCCTTTTGGAGGAGGGGATGTTCTGTTGAGAAGAGTTTTTTTTTTGGGGGGGGGGGCACAAACAAAACAAAAGCAAAGGAGGAGGAAGATACAACAATCACAATCAGATGATTTTAACAGATTAAGCAAAAGGATATGTCACTTCCTTGTTCTGAACAAAGATAAAAAGTATTCTGGAACCCAGACTACACATTTTTAAAGCAGAAAATAGTTTCATTTATATAACTAAGCAATTCAATTATAAAAAGCCATCAACAAAATTAATTAATTATAAAAATTACAAAAGAAAAAATTAAAGGAATAACAAATTTTTCTGAATTTCTGTGCTACTTAAATTATTTACACTTAGTTTCAACCATCGTGCCTTGCAGCTTTCATCTGTTGAACTGGTTTTTAAACTGAACCTTTAATTTAATCTACAAGAGATTGTTTTCACTCTTCTGTCCATGACTAGGGAGATTTCGTCTTCTTATTTAGTACTGCTCAGTTATTGGTAGACCAGTTTTCTTCCACTCTAAGTCTACACTATCTGGCCCAAGGATTGAACTTGCAATTACTATGTCACCAAATAAAAAAAAAAAAACAGTGCTTTAATCCATTTGATTTTTGTCCAGTGGGACAATTTAGAGTTTAGAACTTGAAACTTTAAACATACTCTGCTTACTGATGCTTGTCATTTGTGACTGCATTCACAGAGGATTCACTTTTCTTACTACTGCTGTTGAAATGTTAATGTCATTTTTCTTACTTTGTTCATGGCTCCTATAGCCTAGCATATGTACAGATTCTTTCAGACATCTGAACCCAGTTTTCTTTTCTGTCTATTTTAACTTCATTCCACAAAAGTAGGTGATCACTTTTCCCTCCATACATGATCTGGTATGCCTGATTTCATTGTATCACTCCTAATGGCTTTTTGATATTCCTCCAACCTTACTTTTAAAGATAAGCAACTGATTTCATCTTTGTATTTTTTGCCACAACTGCAAGGTTAGAGTTCTTGGTCATGATCTCCTCTGTGTTTAGCTTTAGATAGTGGGAATTGAAGTTGATGTATTGTCTAGTGGAGATTGGTTTGTGATATTTGGATACCTTAAGCCCATTCAGTGTACGAGTTCTTAGTACATCCAGAAAGGTCAGCAAATTGTTTTCTTCTTGCACTCTGAACTGGATCGAAGGTCTTACTGAGTTCATGTAGTCCTGCAATATTTGTACAGTTTCCCTGGTGAAGACAAAGTATGGAGGTGCCATCTAAGTATCACAGAGTTGGCATTAGTGGTGCCATTTTCTCAAAGTCTGTCTATATTTCTGAGATGAGGTATTATGTACAGTATTTACATTAGTCAGACTATTGTCCTCATCTTTGTCGCCATATTTGTCACAACGTTTCGGCTGAAACGTTTCAGTTCGAAATTCCAACCACCTGAAGAAGGCCGGAGCGTACAACAGCAGAAACGTTGTGACAAATATGGCGACAAAGATGAGGACAATAGTCTGACTAATGTAAATACTGTCCATTTCCTCAAAGTATTCTATGTATGTTTGCCATTACAGGTGACAATGGTGAACCCATAGCCAAGCCTTCCTCTTGTTATTTCAAACCCTAGCTGGAAGAATGTTGCCTGTACACAAAAATGTCAACATTTCCATCAGGTTATCTATCAAGATGCTAATAGGTTTTCCAGGTGCTCAACATCAGCCATTTTTAAAAATAATATTTTTCAAATTTGGTATGACCAACCATGCTCACACACATCAAGCATTATGAAATGAGGTCAAAATAAGCGAAAGATTTGCCCATATAATCTTCCTTTGATAACTAGCAAACTGAATATCAACATTAGTAGCTTGTGAGAGTTATTCCTCAAGAGAGAGAAAACAAACTTTGGATTCTACAGATGTGGCCCACGAGATAAGAGAGCATATACAATGCAGAGGAAGGACACAGGTTCATCATAAGTGCTGAAAATAATCTTCAAAATGGGGATACAATAATTAGATTATTGAACCCATTTTTTGTATTTTTACCACCACAATGTTTCTACCAGCCTATTCTCTGGCCATCTTCAGATGCTATCATTCTAAATGTTGCCAAGACAATAGAGTTCATTCTTTGAGTTGCTTTTGTTATGATCCCCATTTCAGATCATTCTTTCTACAGGTACACACATCCTGGGTATGATGATAAACCATATCTGGCACCAAGGCCTCTGATTGGGCCTCTTAATTGCTGTTGATTCCAGATCCAACCTGACCCGGGGTGGTAGCAACTGTCAGCAACTATGGGCAAATAGTGAACCCCCAAACTAGGGGACAAAATATAAAAATATATTAGAAAAAATTATCAGCAATACATTATGGGAAAAAAAAATTACCAAAGCTTACAAGAAAATAAAATTTCAGCATTAAATGACCCATAAGAATGTTGATATGCCAGTAAACAACCAAACCAAGCTACAGGTCTACAATCTAGAGGGAAACTTATTTCTTTAAGGATTATGCACCTAAAAGTGACTAGAGAATGGATCAGTAAAAACCTGGAGGTTTTAATTGGTAATCAACCATATTGACTATTTTTTCAATTTTTTTAATCATTATTTTAATTAAATCAGTTTTCATACTCAGTGACTTTTGTCCATTCAAGAAATTTCATCTGAAGCTTAAAAATAATTATTTTTCAGACAAAAATGAATTTAATATTCGAATAATTTTTCATTATTTTTTTTTTTCTTTCTTACCAGTCTTTGATATTAAATTTCAACACTTAAATACAAGAACATCAAAACCTCTTCAGAGTCAGGACATAATACATTTCTTGCAGGATTGCATTAACTCCTGCACTAAATGGCCTTCCTATTCTCCAAAAGCTAGTGCACGCTCAAATATTTTAAAGCTAATTTACTGAAAAAAGTAAATTTTTTTTTTTTTTTCTATCAGACAAATGGATCATCATTTCTTGGTTGTAAGGACAAATTAAAATAATCCTGCAATTCTTTATTCAAAAAAAAAAAAAAAAAAAAAAAAAAAGTTTTTTTTTTTTCCCTTTCTTCCTGATCATTGTAACACATTCTTTCTTTTACCAAAAGCTAATTAATCAAATAAATTTGAGAACATGAGAGGTAAACCTCCAGCTTGTAGAACTGGACGAAGTGTCTTTGTTTGAAATCTCTCCAGATTTCAAAGATTTAACATCTTTCAAAGATTCCAATGTCTATTCTTTTAAAAATGTTTTTTTTTTCTACCATTACTACTCTCAAAAATATCATTCTGAATCTAAGATTTAACAAAAAAAAAAACTGCTTTTCCAAACATGCTGAAAATCTATTCTCAACTGAAGATTGAAGTTTTTCTAAAGAATGAATTCCATCAAAGCAACAGTTCATCTTTGCTTTTAATAGGAATGAATTATTTTTCTGAATTGTGGGAATAATCATTGTAGAAGTGCCTTCTCATTTACTTCTACAGTAATTTCTTTGAGTGGTTTTTGAAGCTGAACATTTTTTTTCTGAAAGACTCCCTATGAACATTGATTTGTTTGTGTTCTTTTTTTGTTTAACAGTTTTTGCAGGTTATTTAAAGCCAGGAAATATGTTTAGATTGTAAGAGTTTTTGGGGTTATAATAATAATTTACTGATACAAATCTTACTAATTAACCCATAACTGGGGAGAGCAGAGGTGCATTCATAACTTTCCCTAGGATATTTACACATAAGTGAATATAACAAAGCCAACTGGAAATGGAACTTCCAATTCCAAGTAAGTATCCATTTCAGTACCAGCATATCCAAGCTTACAGTACATGGTATTCCCAAGTGGTTATCCATCTAAGTACTGACCAGGCTTGATATTGCTTAACTTCAGTGATCGTACAAGAATCTATGTTTCACCAAGATATGGCCATCAGCAGGATATGCAACAAGGGCTTTTTGTTGTTCAGTATTTTTTTCCAGCACCTTGAATTTATTCACATTTCTTTAAACAACTGATCCTGAAATTCTCTAAACTTGTTTACAGCCATTGTGAGAATGCCTATCCTTAGGGAAGGAGCTAGGATCATTACCTGGGACTTTTTTTTTTTTTTCTTTTTATCAATTCACTCCAAGCAAAACAATAATGCTACTAAGATGCAAGAGAGTGAAAGAGACTGAAAAATACTTTAGAAGAAACCAGAAGCCCAATCCTAAACAGGAATCAAGGGATAAACCTCTACTCCTGTCCAAAAAGACCGAGAAGGAGGGTAAACAGGATGATAGACAAACTTATCTACTCCTATTGAGTAAATAGTAAACAAAAAAAAATTCATAGTTTAAGGGGTAATGTTAGAAGTATAAAGTTGAAATAGACTTTGGAAGGAACCAGAAAGACAATCCTAAACAGGAATCAAAAAAAAAAAAAAAGAAAAAAAAAAGAAAAGAAAAGCAAAGAATGTGAACCAGATGATAGGTGAACAAATCTACTCCTATTGAGGAAAAATAAAAAATAAAATAATTAAAAAAATAAATAAATAAATAAAAATAATTTAAGAGTTAAGGAGGAGATGCTAAAAGAATAGAGTTTGAGTGGACTTTAGAAGGAACCAAAAACCCAATCCTAAACAGGAAAAAAAAGGAATAAATGCCTATTCCTGTTCAAAAGACGACAAACTTATCTACTCCTATTGAAATCTGAGGAGTCCCTAAAAGGGGAAATGCTGAGGTGGCTTTAGCAATTTTTTTGATCAAACAATTTTAGAATGTCATTTTTCTTTGGGACAGTGAGTATAGTCTCAAAACAAAAAATAAGAGATTAAAAAAATATAATTTAAAAAAAGAAAAAAAAAAAATTTATTGGCACAGTCACTGACCTTCAGATTTATTTTTTTTGTTTTGTCCATGGTAGAACAGATTAGATTCTGAATTTTTCTACCCTGGCTATTTGCTTTTTGATTTCAGACCAGGTACACTCTTGCTATCATAAGAGATACTAGGATCAGAACATGAAATCCATATACACATTGAAAATAAACAAGAAAGGTTATCAGATGGACAAAATAACACACATAATTCATGATGTCACTGTTAGACAAAAATGGATACCAGAAGATGGCTGGAGCATACGCAGACCAAATGTTATCCTGATAAAAACAACATTCACAAACAAGATAAGAATAATTCTCTTGATAATTATGGAATCATGACATCATTTCTGAACTTCAACAAAGAATATTTATTGATATTTGCTGATCAAAACAACAAAGATGAAGATACTAACTCAATTTGTAAAACAAGGATTCGTCTTAAAACTTCAGACAACATTTGCAAAATATCTTCTCAGAAGTTAAATGCCAAACCGACTAATTCAACGTAAAATACTAAAACCTGACTTATGCTTTTTTTAACACTGATTTTAACCAAACAGATAAAGGGAGCAACAAATTTTTTCATATTCAAATTTTGGGTAGACAAAGCTCAGTCTATGAAGGCAATCTATCTAGAGGAAGGAAGACCCTGATTTTAAACCTCTGCTGTCTTGTAAACCCATAGTGGAGCCCCAAAGGTTATTGCTTGTCAACATTGACAACTTTCCAGCAACACCTGCAGCCAAGTCATCTCCAAATGTAATGGCCTGTATTCCTTAGGATCTTGTCCGTATGGCCAAGAAGGGGGGGGTCATTTAGTCTAGGCAGGTCATGGCCTCCATATGCTATCACTAGTCTGAGAAGGAAAACTCAGAATTCGAATCATCTGCTGCCTTGTAGGTCTTGCCACTAACTTCTGACAGGAAGGACAAAATAACTTCAATGTCCCCAGTACAAAAGAAACCATGGTGAACCAATGCCCTACACTGCCTTGAATGTCACCATGAACCACAATTGTAACATGGAGGGAAGTGGTGACCACAGTAAGGGCACAAAATGCAATAATTGAATAAATGAACAAATGATTCAAACACCAGATGCAAATATTTCAGCCCTTAGTGGTAGCAAAGATTCTACAATTATTCTATTATCTAATGGTTCTGATTCCGTGTTTATTTAAATGTCATGTTAAATGTGAATCAGACCAAATTTTCTAATAAAAGTTAACATACAGTTAGTATCTAATAAGTAACAGAAGTTTAAAATAAATCCAGTTCTACAAATTCAATCATGTTAAAAAAAAAAATTAGAGAATAAACAATCAGTTATATATATTTCTTTAATAATTTCACCCCAAACAATGGATATTTTTGGTTCAGATCATATTCCTAATAACTTTGGATACGTTTGTAATTAGTTTGATAGTGTTAAGATTGGATAAATTGTTTTGGATAAAAGATATAAGAAATTAGTAGGATATGTCTCTTTTTCTAGTTTATTGTCATTGTTGTTAATGTCATTATCTTTTTTTGTAGTTGTATGTTTTTATGCCTTTCTCTTAACATTGTGGATGGAATAATGAAGATATTGAGGTTTTTACAAAATATTTTCTATGTATATTTCTTCTTCAGGTAAGTATTGGGAGTTGCATATTCTTAGTGCTCTTAAATAGAACCCAATAATTATTCCAGATTGTATCCTGTTACAGTGGTGAGAATGGAAATTAATAAGATCATTCTTGTTGGTAGATTTTTTGTAAACCTCCAACCAAAGGTTATTATTAGTTCTATATAGCATGATATCTATGAAGGGTAAAGTATTGTTACAGATACATAATACTAACTACTCTCTAACATCTACTATCCAAAACCATTTATCCAATCTTAACAATATCCAAATAATAAAATCTATTATGGATATAATCAAAACCAAAAATATCCTTAACAATAATAATTTTGAAGCAGATACAGAGACACACACACAGTTCAATTATGAAGAGGCTAGTAGGCACAATTTTTCAGGAAGCTTGTATAGAACTAGTTCCAATTCTTATCACTGCCAGAAGTATTTCTTTCTCACCCTTGGAAAAGGGTACAAATCCATTTTTGTCCCTTTCTATTCTACCAGAGTCATATCACAATCTAGTATGATTTCCGCAATCTACCTCTCCCTTGAGTTATAGGTTAAGTAATAAAATTTGTATCACTAAATCATTATTATCTTTAAAAAAATCATACAATCTAAAAATATTTACTGGCTTTTAATAACCTGCAAAGTGTTGATAACCCATCAAAAACTAATCAATCAATCAAATACTGATTAGCTACACAGACATGTCTTTTAGATTTACTTACATTCTCTGGAATATAAAGGTATAGAAACTACCATGGCTACAAAGTGAGGGTCAAGTTTCTATATTAATTGTAATTTAGAATTGATCCCCCACTATATATCCATGTTGCTTTTTAAATCAAATTCTGATTAGGTATGAATCCACTTATTCTTCCCCCAACTAAGGGTTAATTAGTAAGACTTTTATTACTAAACAATTGTTATCTCAAAAAATAAATCTTATTTCTTGCATCTTAGTGACATTATCACCTTGCTTGACGGGGTGGGAAAAAAAAAAACTTTTACAATCTAAAAATATTCTGGCTTTAAATAACCTGCAAAGGGTTGATATTCTGTAAAATACAAATCAATCCATCAGGCATTAGAGATTTACTCTGAACCTCCTCCTTTCAGAGATGTGCTGCCTGAGAGGTCCACCTCTGGAACTGGATTTTCTTTGTACTTCTAGGGCTAAAAGTATAAGGAAAGATTGAATAAAAAGCAATTACCTTCTGTCTTTGAGGTAACAATAATAGATTGCTACTAAAATTTATTGTTACTTGTGATAGAAGTCCCAAGTATTGAACGGATGCAGATTCGTAACATTTTATTTTTAAAGAGTACTTAAGTTTTTTGTAATTTAAATACCAATCAGAGTTTATTGCTTTTTAATTATTTTAACTTACTGCTAAGTGTTAATTAACAAGAAGGAGTCAATTAATTGAATTACAGTAACTGGTAACAATTGGCTTTGTTGAAATACAGTTGATTAGAAGCAGGCATTTGCTTCTTTCTAAACACACTTTTGAGCAACTCCAAAGACAAAAAAGAAATTAAGATGATAAGTGCCTGCTCACCATGGGCTCACAAATGGTTTAGAAAATTTGAATGGATTGTTTTCTTTATTTGTCAAGCTACCCTGTATCTTATCTCTTTCAAAATCAACCCTCTGTATGTGTGTGAATAGCTGGACAAGAGCTGACTATGTTTGCATCTGCTCATATATTTGTCTATTTTCTGACCATGTACATACATCAACAGGAGAAAATGATATACAAGTTTTTATGGATAGAAAAGTACATATTTATCTATATGGAAAGTGCTTTAATTGCTAGATCATCCACAGTAAATTTGTGTCAGGATTTTTACATTTCACCATTGATCTATTATCACAATGTGGGATATTTAATAACAAAAGCAATAATAATATAAGCAAAGAAAAACTAAATGAAATTGAATAAACTATATATAGCCAAACTCATTAAAAAAAAGTTAAGTTTAAAATTTCAGTCCCCTCTCCTTCATGCATATGTGTAGTTAAATCTCTGTAAACATCATTTTAGGCCAATGAAGTCCTAAAGGAGGAAAAGTGTGAAACGAAAAAAATTTTCCACTTTGTCATTAATTTTCCATATATGCATCCATTTATTCTATGCTTATTTAGGAGATTCTCTTTTTCACTAATACAACTACTAATTTTATAGTCACTCTTATTATACTCATTCTGACCACCCTAAGTCACAGATAATATCACTTACTTGCATATTCCAATTTTTAGCATCACTTCTTTTATGGTAGTTGATTGATTTCTTCTGAACAGGAGTAGAGGTCTATCCATTGTTTCTTGTTCAGGATTAGGTTTCCAGTTCCTTCCAAAGTCCAATGCAACTCTTTAATTCTAACATGTCTGCCTAAACACTGAAATGTTATTTGCTATTTATTTTTTTATTTTTCT